CACACAATATTAAAAATGATTCATGCTCATGTTGTTCCACAAACATACTATTTGCTTTCTACCGTGGATCATTGCTCTAGAAATTACATAAAGTGGTCCATAAAACTTATATATTCCAAGTCTTCTGAATCCATACAATAGATTTATATGTAGATCAAAATGAAAATTATCTACTGAAAATCTTCTGAGTCGTTGCTCTCAAATCCCATATTTTTGTGTAATAATAAAATGGCGCTTCACGACTTATGTCACGTTTCAAGTAAAAAAACAACATAAATGGATCATGGATTTCATGGAAACATGGAAACATCATGGATTTTCTGACCAATCGTTAGGGCTGGGCAGTATATCGACTTTGTAAGGTATATCAATAGAGCATATCAATACATTTCCAAATGAGATATTGGGTGGGACTATACCATTTATATTGATATGCGATAGCGGATGATTCAGAGTCAACTACGTATTAAAAATACACAATCAGAGTCCTAAACTTTTAGACCTGCTTTGTATTAAGCACGTCAACTAACTCCTATGCATAGATTTTAAAGCAAGTCTCCTCCATTTAACTTCACACACTTCATTGAACAATTGCCAATGCACACAAATGTGTCAAACAGACACAATAGAATGGGAGAACAATAAGTCTAAATAAAGTATACATTTTGCTCAAATATTTTGCATAAACCGAGGTATGTACCAAACCATAATTTGTGTGTACTGTTACACCCCTACCAATTGTCACCGATGTCAAACCTGGCATTGAGCATCTTGATTTGCCTTATTTAAAATCAAATAGATGTAGGCCTAAATGTGATTGCGATGTGAGAGCATTTTTGAGCTCAACAGCACCGGCAGCAAGAATATTCCACTGAACATAATATTTTTTTTTACTGAAGAAAGAAAATAACATGGCTTTGGAACAACATGGAACAGGGGTGTCCAATCCTGCTCCTGGAGGGATTGCTCACTGTCTTGCAGAGTTTTGCTCCAACCCCAATTAAACACACCTGAACCAGCTAATCAGAGTCTTACTAGGCATACTAGAAACTTCCTGGCAGGTGTGTTGAGGCAAGTTGGAGCTAAACTCTGCAGGACAGTGACTGAGTTTGGACACCCCCGACATAGAACAACCATTTTTGGGTGAACTGTCCATTTAAGAGAAAAATTACCTTGTCGTTGTAATCAGCACTAGCCCCCCACAGCACAGCCCCAGAAGCCCCCAGAGCTGCACTCTCACCAATACTGCTGACCAAGTCAAACTAGAGAGAAACAGATAGCCTATTATTGCAAGTAACCTATGTGGCCTAGGGCAGTGTTTCCCAACCCTGCTCCTTGAGGCACACCAACAGTGCACATTTTGGATGTCTCCCTTTTCTGACCCATATATTTCTGTTCTTGGAGTCTCTACTAACGAGCTGATGAGTTGATTCAGGTGTGATCGATTAGGAAGAGTTGGAAAATGTGTAGTGTTGGTGTGCCTCAAGGAACAGGGTTGGGAAACACTGGCCTAGGGTGTCCAATCCTGCTCCTGAGAGTTACTATCCGGCAGAGTTTTCCTGCAACCCCAATTATGCACACCTGAACCACAATCAAGGTCTTCAGGCTTACAAGAAACTTCCAAGCAGGTGTGTTGGAGTAATTTGGAACTAAACTCTGCAAGCCATTGGCCCTCCAGGAATCGGCTTTGACACCCTTGTCCTAGACCAGTCTAATGCCGCGTTCCAGGCAACCCGTAACCCGTGTTTTTCCAACTCGTAACTGGGAGTACATCGATCTAGTACGAGTTCACGGATGGGAAGTCACGGGTTTGACTGCCGTTCCAGTGTACTTTCACGGGTATAAGGTTGGAAAAACACGGGTTACAGGTTGCCTGGAACGATGTACTCCCAGTTACGAGTTGGAAAAACACGGGTTACAGGTTGCCTGGAACGCGGCATAATTCTTGGCCTTTTTTAATTCTTGCATGAGCTAACTTTTTCATGTAGAAATTACATTGTTTTTTCTGTAGTATTTACTTCACCACAAAATCATTTTTATCAGTGTAGCTTTCTAGTAATCCTGAAGACACTGATTATCTTGTTCAGGTGTGTTTGATTAGGGTTGGAGCTAAACTCTGCAGGACCTTGGTCATGGCCACCTTGCCCATCCCTGTCCTAGACTATTCCGTGTACCATAGTTGCCAATACAATGCTCTGTTATGGCCTATAACGGGTGTCCAATCCAATCCTGTTTAGCTCCAACCCCAATTAAACACGCCTGAAACAGCTCATTTTTGTCTTACTAGGCATACTAGAAACTTCCAGGCAAGAGTGTTAAGTGCTAAACTTTGCAGGACAGTGGCCCTCCAGGACTGAGTTTGGCCACCCCTGGCCTATAATAACCAGTAGTCTCGATACTGTACCTCATTCATGTAAAGCTCCTTTTGGTCTCTTAAGAGAGGCCGTAGGTAGACGTAGACCGGTGCAGTGTGGTGGTGTTTTGGCAGGGCTGCCACTCTCATTGCCTCTTGCACCTGGTGACGTACGAACAGTGCAGCACTCCTGCTTCCACTCACGGAGACCGGCAGGTATGCTGAGGGGTAAAGGGCAGTGCTAACCTCCCACAGCCACAGCAGCTCGTTGTTCAACTGTTTTGTCTTCTCTGAACAAGTACCTGTATAGTTTGACTCTTCAAAGTCATAGTTATAGCAGTCTGGGTACAAGTAGTAGCCCCACAGGTACCAAGGTCGATGATAGATTCCCATCTTCAGAGTTTCCTCCATGAAACATCTGGCTTCCTTCTGGAATTGTCGTTTGGCTTCGCTGCTTGCTTGTTGCAGGTTGAGAGAAGCGTTCTGCTCCAGGGTGTAGTTGATGGACAGTTCTTTATATATCTCCCTGACGTCCAAATTCTGGTCAAACATTGGAAGCCACTCTTCCCAATCCATGACAGCCAGACCAGCAGTTGAGTCCAGAATGTATTGGGTAAACTCTTCCTTCGCTTTCTCCAAACTAGCAGACAGGTTGCCCCTTTGTGGGATGCCACCGTTATTCTCCTTCAAGGAGTGGAGGTCTACATAGGGGTAAAGCCCAAGTCGATTTTTGTAGAACAGGGTCAGGGATTGATTGCGTACCCTGGAAGGTGTGGTGACCACCTGGAACATCGATAAATCTAGAGGGATCTTCATTTGTTGGCATTTGGAAACCGGAGCATTCCATAACAGCACAAAAGACCTATGAAAGAGAGGTGCTGCGGTTGGTAGAGGGGGCGATGTGTTAAGATGCCCCAATGTCATGAAGAGTATAGTGTAAAATGGTAACCGTTGTTTCCTTTGGTCTTCCATCTGTGTACACTGATTGAGAAAAAAAATCAGTTTTAATGATATTTTGAAATGAGTGAAAAGTTTGTGCTATGGTAGGGTAATTTTTTTAATTCTGCTTTTTTCAAATGGTTAAATTTGTAATTATTTTAATTATTTGTTACTCAAAAGGAAACCAGAATTTATCACTGATCACACAGTAAGTTGTTTAAAAGTCTTTTAATCATGATTTCATTAGTGCCATGTGCTCTTATTTATGCTAGCAAGTGGAGTTTTTGGCTAAAAAGTTTAAAGTCTGTTACCGTCAAACTCTGTTACCAAGGTAGAGTAACAATTTATGTAACAGAATTGACAGTAACAGAGTTAACAAACAATGTTATAAAGAAATGTTTTTCGTTAAAAGTAAAAAAAGGAAGAAACTTGTGTAATTTAAAATGTTTTCATTAAGATACTGGAAAGAATTTAAGTTAGTGAACAGTTTTTTTCCTTAACTTTTTTAAATGCAAAATGTATCTCCAATTATAGAATCACTCAGTAGATAAGATTGTTTTGGCACAATACTGGAAATATAATGTTGCAGAAATAAATTCATGGTTGTACTGTATTTTACAGTACGTGCAATATCAATGTACTTACAGTGTACTTACCGACGAAAATACTGAGTAATAAAAGGTTGGTTAAGGTTAGGTTTAGGGGTAGGTTCAGGGTTAGTACATATTACCAATTTTGTGTCAATACTACAATAAATACATAGCATTGTACATGCAAAACAGGACTGGAAAATAAGGTGCCACAAATTCATTTTTATACCAAACTATCTTTGCTAGAACAACATGGCAAACTGGGTGCATTTTTAAAATTAGGAGATGTCTTTATTATTTAAATAAAATGCTTATTTTTAAATGGTTTTGTTTGAGATTTAGAAGCAATGAGTGTCTTACCGAGTGAAATGGGTAGCAAGGAGAAAATGTAGCTTGTTCAGGTTCCTGTTAAATATTAACAGGGGTCAATGTTTAAAAAAACACAAGACTATGCATATATGTTACTGGAAAAGGATTAGTGTAAACGTTCAATATGTTCTTGGGCTAAAAAAAAATGGAAATCGCTTTGAGCAAAATTTTGAAGCACATCACAACCTCATCCCAACTGTAATGAACAGTAAGGTGGAGGGGTCTTTGGGGCTGCCTCAGGGCCCGGACTGGACAGCTTGCTATTATCAATTGCAAAATTAATGGTTTTGGAGGAAACCGTTGTCACATTATGTTCAGTTAGTTTCATTATCATGGACTTTTATTATTAGTTCATATGTGTCAGCTGTGTTCTATTAATCATCCTCATTTGTGTTTGTTATATAAGTTGGTCCCTCAAATTCAGTCTCTGTCCGATCACCGTTACCTTAAGTGTGTGTTGCCCTGCCTGTTTGCCCGCCTTTTGGATATTTATTGTGTTGGAACTTTATTCTGTCTGCCTGAAACCACACGTGACAGCCGTCTGTCTGGCAGTTGAAGCTCAACAGAAGTTGATTAAAAATCCTGACAATGACTCAAAGATGGAGGCTCTACTATTTAAGTCACATATTTTCCACCCTGCACTGTGAATGTTAACACAGTGTATTTGATAAAGGCATGAAAATGTAAGCAGATTTTGTTTGTAAATTAAGGTACAGTTTGCAATTCCTGTGCATTCAAAGACAATTTTGACAATGAAAATCAAGACCAGGTTACAATCCTTTATTTGCAGTGCATCAAGAGTCAAGCAACATTTGTCTTCGAGTATTTGGTTAATTGTATTGCTTAATGTAAAAAAAAATTACACATTGCATATAAGACTTTGAGATGAAAAAAGAGCTCTATGGAAATATATTTGGACACTGGCAAAGTTTAGCACTGAGGTAAAAAAAGACACTTTGACAGATATTGAAGGCTCTGATAATGTCCCATATTAACTACTGTCTACATGCTACAAAATGCAGTATTTGAGAAAAATTTATATTTTGAATCAAAACAGAGATAAAACACAGTCCAATTATCCTTCAACCTGAAACTGGACATGTAATACAATCTGTAGACATCTAAAACGGTTTCTAAAAATTTGCAGATTCTGCTAATCGAAAGTATTCAAAGTACTGAAAGATTCTGAGGTATATACCTTTCTTTGTTTTCAGTTTCAATCATCCTGGCTTCATTTAGACAAGAACAAAAAAGACAAGCACAGTTTAACATACAATCATAATGTGTTTTCACCCACCACAGCATTCTGTAGTTTAACAAATGCAAACTTACATGTGTAAACGTTGCATACATGTTTATAATCTTTGGTTAAACACACATTTCAGGAATTTGAGGGACAAAAAAAAAAAAATAATAACATGAGATATTTTGTACTTTTTTGTAATGGAATTTAACTAGCTTCAATTCTGGTTGTGTCCACTGAGTTTTCTCATCATTAATCTGACGAGTATACCATGATTTATTCTATTGTAATATTGATAAAAGCTTAAAATATGACAAATTATATAATGATTAATTGTTTCGTATAATGACATCTGTCATGTGTTGTTGTGTTTGTACTGTATTTGATGAGAACAGTAAAATCTGAACATGATTTTGTGTATTCTATCCATTTTTTTCTCTTTTATTAATATGAATATTATAAATTGAGGCACATCATATTTTATGACTATATCCAATAGGCTATGGATTATTTTGATCCATTAGCACAAGTCAATATAGTCTGTAATTATATTATGTTGAGCGATTTGGTATGTAGCTATTTTGACAGATATACTATTTGGCCAGTTTAGATTATAAAGCATGACACGTATATCATGTGTGGATCTTACCTAATTTTTAGTAATTTTTGAATACCCAGCGCTCCCTGAATTTGAAGTGCTTTGACAGCAAGCAGTGGAGTTTGAGATAAGCTTGCTAATATACGTCACGGTAAGCATCTTGGTGTCAGTGCTTTGTAAAAACAGCATAGATTTGACCTTTCCTGTCAGAAAACATTGACAAATTAACAGAATCATTGAGCATTCATCAAGAACAGTTATTAGAATCTATTCAGCCTGAAGTTTGTGCAAACAAGGCTTGCATCTTATCTACATTATCACACAGCACCATTGTAACAGTTATCATTTTTCAATAATCCAAAATCACAAATATTAAAACCTAAGTCATGATGTGCCATCAAGTGACGCGTTGACCACTTTTTCTTAAAGGTGAAGTGTCTTAAATTTTTATATATAAAATCTTTAAATATAACGGGTTTTTTTCTAATATAAAAATTTCAAATTTTTATAGTAATTTGTTTTCATAATGATTTTTTTCAAATTATTAATTTCTAATTTTGTAACATGTTATTTAGTATCTTTATCACTGATGATATATGTAATTTAGGAGCCATTCTGCTCTCTATAGCCCCTTTCACACAGAGCGTTGATCCCAGATAATTGCCATAGAATTGCTAGAGTGCCTTCTGTGTGAACGCAAACACGTCCCGGGATCGATTCCGGGATGGGGACCTAGTAACATTGCTGGGATCAGTCCCGGAACGCAGCCTGTGTGAACAAAAGGCAGGTCCAGTGTCGTAAGGGGTGTAGTGATGACGCATGTGTCGTTGCAATGATGTAGTTATCTTTGACCGCCTGTTTTAAATGCAGATCAATGTTCACGACTTCACGTTGCACATTAACAAAGAAAAAAGTTTGTGTTCGTCAAGGAACAAAGGAACGACGAAACAATGTCTGCAAAGTTAACACGTCAGGAACCTGAACGTCACGTGTCTTTACGGGATCTTTACGGGATGTGTGTGAATGTACAGATTCCTGAAAATCACTGGCAGTGTGAATCAACCCAAATCAAATTATCCCGAGACAAATTATCAGTGTATTTTCTAGAATCTCTGTGTGAAAGGGGCTTAAGAAATTGTCATTGCCCATCAAAAATTCATATTGGTTGACCACTAGTGTAAACATTTGGCTCTGTAGTGTTTTCATAACATCATTCTGTTTGTTTTTTAATCAGCCAATGGTGTGTGAGTTTGGGGCGGGGCTATCTGTTTGATTGACCAATCACAGAGTGTTTGGGGAAACATTTAAACATGATTATTGTTCCCACAAATTACACACTTCACCTCTAAATACAACTGAAGTTCAACAAAAGGAGTAGAGCAGTGAGGATGAAGGCATTTTGTAAAGGCACAGCAGTATCCCTTATGTCTTTGTGGACCTCCTCTGGTTCGTTCTTATTCTCCTCGTCCACGTCCTCTTTTATCATGTTGTCCTCTTCGGTCTCCTCGGGCTCTATGCTATCGCAGCGGTCTCCCTCGTACCCCTGGTAACAGTGACAGTGGAACCTGTCGGCGAGCAGCTGGAGCTCGTGCTGAGAGTGCCATCCGGTCACGGTGAAGGTGCCGTTTCGGTTGGACAGGATCCGATAGCTGCCGCGGCTCAAGTGCAGGTAGTGTGGTGCCTGTGGGTCTCGACGGACACAGCGGCCGTTGGACTGACACAGGAAGTCGCTACAGACTTCTGCTGCCCGGGTAACGTTGGTAATGTACTGACCCAGTCTGTAGTTCAGAAATGCCTTGACTTTGGAACAGTTGTGCTGAGGGAACAAAGGAATTTCCAGGAAGTTAAAACTGTGGCATTAAACTGCAGGGAACTTGGTGTAAAGTTAGCTGGCAAGTATATGTGAATGCCATATTGTGTTGCACTCACAATGATAAATCATATCTAGTGTCCTTATGCATGCGTAAAAGTGTGGCATAAAATATTTAGGGCAGGCATTTTCAGCCACGGACACCCAAATTTGACAAGTTAAACTTAAAAAGAGACATGAAAACAATTCAATAAATGGAATAAAAATAATTGTAATTAATCTCACAATTGCAGTCTTTAATACAAAGCAGAATCAAAATGTGAAATTCTCTGAATTGTTCCTTACACCCTTTACAATGAACATTTTTGAAATGCCTGATCTAAGAATTGACTTCTTGAAGCAGATTTGTAACTGATAAACAGCAGTCTTGACCAATGTGAAAGAATCTTCTGATGTTAAATTGAAGATATAGGTTTATGAAAAGTCTTACCCTTGAGGAAGTGAGGTTAAGATCCCCCCAAATGACAAATCCTGCAGCTCCCAAAGCAGCGCTTTCTCCTATCGTATGTATCAAGTCATTCTGTAAAATGAAAATAAATTAGTGTGTATATGTACATAAAATCATTAGAATGTTAGATCACTGCCACAGTTTCTTAAAAATTAAATAGTTTTACTGAAATTATTATAACAAGTTTAAATTTAGTCATTGAGATAGGTGTTATAGTCAAACCCAGCATTCAAACATCCCTTTTAATATTCTCTATTTATTCTGTTGGACCACAAGAGGGAGCTCTTGATTTCAGACTCCAAAATGGTTCATCAGTATAGAGACTAGCAAAATGGGATGTTTACTGTAAGGTGAAATTGTATTAAGAACGTATGTATGATTCCCTTGGGTATACCCAAGAACTTGGGTATGATTCCCAAAGTAAATTTTACATTTCTCATCGAACATATGCACTTACCTGAGTCAGAAAAGCCATGGCCTCGTCTCTGTACCCCAGGCGTGTGTATACGTATGTAGGCAGTTCATAGGGCAATGAGGTAAGGGAGGCCAGTCGCAGTGACTCCAGTACCCTGTTCTGCGAGAAGTGCAGGTTGTGAATGCTGTCTGTGTGGCTCTTGCGTATAGCGAGGGCTGGGAAAAGGGCAGTGCTGCTGTTCCACAGCCAAAACAGCTGGTCATTACGGTGGCTCTCTTGTAGGGGGCATGTGCCGCTGTAGTTGTGTGCATGTACATTGTAATTGTGACAGTCAGGGTAGAGATATAAACCCCAAAGACCATGCGGACGAGTTTGTGTAGCGAGCTGTAGCGTGCCCTGCATGAACTCCATGGCGCTCTTCTCGAAGCGCAAGCGTGCCAGTTCCTCCACCTGTTCGTCGGTCACATTAAGGTAAGCCTGTTTGATCAGCTCGCGGGATTGCTGTCGGTAAATGTCTTTCTTGTGCCAGTTACGACTCCACTGTGGCCTCCAGAACTCCCAGTCGATCACGGCCAGTCCACGGAAGTCTTCCGAAGGGATGAAGTGCGTTATGTCTTTTCGGGCTTTGTGAAAATGTGCTTCAAGACTGTTGTTCTGAGGTAGGCCTCCGTTGATGGGAACCCCTTGCTCATTGTAGAAAGGGTAGTAACCCAGGCGGTTGGCATAAAAGATGGTGACATTCTGGCCCGTGTGGACGGCTCGTGGACTGCCGCTGATGTGGAAAATATCAAGGCTGACGTTGATATTGTACTTCAATGTACACATATCCAGCGGAGCATTCCAGGCTGCCAGGAAAGGCTTGCGGCCCACCAGAGGCAGCTTTGCAGGTTTCTGGCAAAAGGCAGAATGGACCAGGATCAACAGCAAGGAACAGATGATGGCACAGGCTACGGGCACAGTGTGGTGTTGCAAGGCCCCGCAGGGCACACCGGGCATTCTGCTACGTGACTCAGCACAGGCAACTGTCAATCATCCTGTAAGGGACAAAAAAAGTCTGAGGTAAGCTAACAGAGTTATGCCATTTTTACACCATAACTGCTACATTTGCATTTAGCATATGCTTTTATTTAAGGCCACTTGCATCGCATTCAAGGTCGATATTTTACCAGGTCATGCAGGGATTGAAACTTTGAACTTGTCGTTGCTTGTGTCATGATCTACTATTTTAGCTACTGATAGCACTTAAGTTTAACAGCTAAAATAAATGGTAAATGGACTGCATTTATATAGCGCTTTCACAGACCCAATGGCCACCAAAGTGCTTTACAAAGCGCTTAAAATAAATAGGAATTGGCATTCACAACAGATTTGATCTATTTGAAATGGTTTACATCATGAAAATTGGGTGTTGCATACCAGAACTAATCCAAACCTGAATGTAGCTTTTTGGTTACTGTGCTTCTGGGATGATTTTATTGGACAAGTCATTTTAGAGGCAGAGCAAGTTATTACATTTTGACTGGGTAAAGATTACAGAGATGACTGTTTTTCTTAAGAATAACATGCACTGATGAATCAATTGCAATACGAGTATTAAGGAAGTACATCCGTTTTGATTTCATGTTCATATTTTAAATGCTCTCTTAATATAAACTTAAAATTAGCATTAGAATGCATCTAAAGTCAATTTTGCAAACTTATATTTTTATATAATATATATTTTTGGCAAGGAAAAAGCAATTATGACTGATTGTAAAGTAAAATCCGGCTACAGTTCAGTAGCTGAAAATTGTGAAGATTTTGCTACTGAATGACTGTATATAGACAGTCAAGAAATAAAGCACTGGGTTTGCTACTGACACAGTAGATTATGGCTAAAATGGCTAAGGTGTTCGTGTTTAAGATGGATGTGATGCCCTAAGTCTTGAGCCAAGTTAAATGTGCAAAGTAGGGAGAGGTCAAGCGTAAACATAACATTTTGTGCTTCAGCTTGGTTTGAATATGAGTCAAATGTTACTTTGGGGGTTGCTGTCATCAGTCAAACCAGCAGTTAACCACAGGGGTAATGGCCAAATCCAGCCACATACTCTCACCAGTGTGGCGCCCACATGGCCATAATCATAGCTGCCCTCGCCAGATGCCCTATCTGCATGATAGAGCATTAAAAGACAAAGAAAAATATATGAATTTTATGACATTAGATGTAACCAAATGTGAAACCAAGTGTCATCTGCAAAAAAAAAAAAAAAAAAAAAAAAACTTTTCTAACAACTAACTTTACTTTTTTGTGCCATGCAATGACTTTTAACCAGTCTGTGTCAAGGTGGATTTTATTATACATATATATATACACTCACCGGCCACTTTATTAGGTACACCTGTCCAACTGCTCGTTAACACTTAATTTCTAAGCAGCCAATCACATGGCGGCAACTCAGTGCATTTAGGCATGTAGACATGGTCAAGACAATCTCCTGCAGTTCAAACCGAGCATCAGTATGGGGAAGAAAGTTGATTTGAGTGACTTTGAACGTGGCATGATTGTTGGTGCCAGAAGGGCTGGTCTGAGTATTTCAGAAACTGCTAATCTACTGGGATTTTCACGCACAACCATCTCTAGGGTTTACAGAGAATGGTCCGAAAAAGAAAAAACATCCAGTGAGCGGCAGTTCTGTGGGCGGAAATGCCTTGTTGATGCCGGAGGTCAGAGGAGAATGGCCAGACTGGTTCGAGCTGATAGAAGGGCAACAGTGACTGAAATAACCACTCGTTACAACCGAGGTATGCAGCAAAGCATTTGTGAAGCCACAACACGCACAACCTTGAGGCGGATGGGCTACAACAGCAGAAGACTCCACCGGGTACCACTCATCTCCACTACAAATAGGAAAAAGAGGCTACAATTTGCAAGAGCTCACCAAAATTGAACAGTTGAAGACTGGAAAAATGTTGCCTGGTCTGATGAGTCTCGATTTCTGTTGAGACATTCAGATGTTAGAGTCAGAATTTGGCGTAAACAGAATGAGAACATGGAACCATCATGCCTTGTTACCACTGTGCAGGCTGGTGGTGGTGGTGTAATGGTGTGGGGGATGTTTTCCTGGCACACTTTAGGCCCCTTAGTGCCAATTGGGCATCGTTTAAATGCCACGGCCTACCTGAGCATTGTTTCTGACCATGTCCATCCCTTTATGGCCACCATGTACCCATCCTCTGATGGCTACTTCCACCATGTCACAAAGCTCTAATCATTTCAAATTGGTTTCTTGAACATGACAATGAGTTCACTGTACTAAAATGGCCTCCACAGTCACCAGATCTCAACCCAATAGAGCATCTTTGGGATGTGGTGGAACGGGAGATTCGCATCATGGATGTGCAGCCGACAAATCTGCGGCAACTGTGTGATGCCATCATGTCAATATGGACCAAACTCCCTGAGGAATGCTTCCAGCACCTTGTTGAATCTATGCCACGAAGAATTGAGGCAGTTCTGAAGGCAAAAGGGGGTCCAACCCGTTACTAGCATGGCGTACCTAATAAAGTGGCCGGTGAGTGTATATATGTATGTATGTGTGAAGTCAGATACCCTCAAGTTAATCTAGTTAATCTAATCAGGTATCGGTAACGCTTCCTTTTACAATACAGTACTTATGTCTACTTACAGTGTACTTACCTAGAAAGTACTGGCTAATATAAGGTAAGTACATGGGTTAGGGGTAGGTTCAGGGTTAGTACCTAGTTATTACCAAGTAATTGTAATTACTATAATAAGTACCTAGTATGTACATGGGTAACAGGACTGTAAAAGGAAGCGTTACCCAGGTATCTAAGTACTGTATGCATAGTGAGTCGTTTGCTCGTAGGTTGTCAGGAAGAGAGTTTCATGGCTTGGGACCGAACTGACTAAAGGCTGAGTAGCCAATTTGTAGCTGTGCTTTTGGTATAAGTTACTATTGGATGTTTGGAGCGATCTTGCCCTATATTTATTCAACAAATTAGAAAGGTATATTAGAACCATCAAGACTAAAAACTAATGAGAATCTTGAATTCAATTCTGAATGATACAGGCAACCAGTGAAACGATCTAAATGTTGGTGTAATGTGATTTTTCATTTTAGAGCGAGTTAGCATTCATGCAGCTGCATTCTGAAGTCCTTGTATGTGTTTACTAGTGCTCTATTTGGTAACCCAGGAAAAACGCTAATGCAGTAGTGAAGTCTAGATGTAACAAATGCATGAACAAGTTTCTCAGTGTCAGCAGGGGAGCGAATATCGCATACTTTGGTGATGTTTTTGAGGTGATAATATGCTGTTTTAGTAACATTACTGATAAGTTTTTTAAAACTAAGGTCACTCTCAAACATGATTCCTAAGATCTTGATCTTATTACAGGCTTTTAGTGATAGAGAGTCAAGATATGGAGCAATAGATGTTCTGCATCATAATAACCGAAAATTCCAATATTCCTTCCAGCTAAAGGAAGCATGTGTAGGTTAAATAATAGAGGACCCAAAATTGAGCCTTGAGGAACACCACAAGAAATGATGTAATGCCTGAAAGTGTAACATACAGTAGTATTCCTGGATCTGAACCAGTCTAAGACCAGGATCTAGCAGAGTAACCAGGTTTCGTTCATCACATTAATTATGAACATGTTCCACTAATGTTTAAGAAGCACAAAGTGCCTAGATGCCTTTGTGTGATCATTTTTTAACAGTATGTAAAATGCTCTATAAAATTTAAAACACAAAAGCCAATGTAAAATGTCCTTGAGTTGTCTTTACAACAAATGACACACAATTTGATATTTTGGGATGTCATACAATGACATTTATTTATTTCAAAGAGTACCTCAAGTGTAAAAAAAAAAAAGAAGAGGGCCACTGAATGTAAAGTACAGTATCCGAAACCTCTCATCTGGCTTTCGTTATTACAGTGTGGATAGTATAAAATGAAATAAAAAATATGGTTAACAGTCTCTAAGTTTGTTTAAATATGTTACATTATGTTCTTTGGTACCAGATAATCAGGAGTATCTGATTTCTCTGAGCAAGGCATGGAACCAATCACTATATGGCGGTAACGCATGCATTGAAAGGTTATTAGTGGCAGTCATGTGCTAAATCAGAGGTTGAAAAATGAGGTATGGCATGGAATGTTGCGGATAAAGGCAAATTGTGGAGCCCCGTGGTGGTTGTTATTGAGTGGAAAGAGCCTGACTGAGAGCGATGTAGCTCCTTTTTCCCCTAGGACTGGCGGCGGGCCCGTACCATGAGGGGGAAGAATTAAACCACTTCCTGCTTAATAAGACCTCTGCTTGCACTGAGCTTCACAGATGATCTTCATGGTATTTGCACTTCACACATTTATGACTTATTAAAGGCTTTACTTAAAATACTGTAATCCAGAACAGGCTTGTGACAAAGGGTTTTCACATATGATTATGCAATGAAGTATGCGAGAAGATTCAAGTGGCGGGAATGAATAAAACTTTCCATGAAGCTTTACGGTTAGCCATCAATGAAAACATTGGGGTATGGAGAATTGAAGTGATTGTGCCTGTATTTCAGATAGATTTATTTATCTTCAAGCTTCCTCAAACCCTCAGCCCTCTCTGGCAATAATTAAGATACATGTGGCTTAGTGAGAGTGGTTTTTACAGAAACCTTTCAGGCGACGGCTTCAGAGAAGCCACAAAAGGCATGGAGTCGACCTGATGCTAGGATTTCGATGCGACTTCATTCAGTCCCATCCAAATGTGAATTTGATCCAAATTGGAAACATAAATATGACTGAGCCAGATTTACAACAGGAGACAGAGGTTTCTTGAATCGCCATAAAGAAACCTCTGGGCTCCTCAGAAGATGTGTGGTTTGATATCTGTGGCTCTGAGGACGACGTGAGTCTTCCCATTTAATCGTTTGTTTGCCTCAAATTAAATGAGATGATGTTCTGTGACATCCGTAGCTTTGTGTCATTGAGGAGAGATCAAATGGAAAATATCTGCAAAGTCATTGGAATCCAAAGATCACACACCAAGATCACAGATAAGAGGCTTAATTTGGTTATTTAGTACTGCATTTGATGCTCGAATGGTAAACAAAACCTTAAAAAGGGAATCTTAATCACGGTGGAACCCAAACAGAGTTATACGTCAGGTTAATCTGAGGACGTGTTTTGCTTTGAGGTGGATTGTTTAAGGATGAGTGATCTCTTGAAGATCAAAGAATCCTATTTTGGGCACTGCTGACACACTAAGCTACTTTTAAGTAAAGCTGACGGTGAAATGGTATACTGACACAATGCTTTCAATTTCACCTTATACCACAAGATGTCTTCACAATGATCATGGGCTCCTGGGAAACTTTGACTTTAGAGGTTGTCAGTTTCTCCAGCGTCACTAACTCTTCATCCGGAAGTACGTTATCTCATCTGTAAACGCTTCCCTCTGATTAACTCGCTTCAAAATATTTACAGAGCCACTGTTCAAAGACCTCAGTGGTGCCACGGCACATTTCCTGACAGTAAACTTTAAATTAAACCCTTTGAGTAACACATATATTTGGAATGGGCTAATTAGGTTTTCTTTCATTTGATTTTCTTTGCGGAGAGGTCTTTCCCTGGCACTTTTACATATACTCACAAATATATATTTACAGTGATATATTTAGGATGCATCGATATTAAAAGTCTGTCTGATAATTATTTTCAGATGGATGTTGGAATTTTTGCAACTTTTTCAAAATGAAAATTTTATTTTAAAGTCCCCCTGTAGTCAATAATTTTAGCCCTTAAAACTCATCTTTGATCACCAAAATTACATGTTAAAACGATTTTTCCTTGAAAAAAATCTTATTGCTTGAATGTAACTCTACACTCTTGCCTCATTTAGTATACACGGTTCTATGAATATGCAAATTAGCCCCGCCTCCACTCACTCGCACCATCTTAGAGATCCACTAGTTGACGTGATTGGTTACAAGGTATGACGTCAGAAACACCAGCGATTTCAAACCGGGTTTTTGAGACCGTCTTTGGTTCACTGCAGTTTTAAGGAGAAAAAACTCAGAAATGGCGTCGACTTATGAATTTGCTCATGGTTTGTCTTAAAGCATATTAAAAACACCACATAGACAGATATAAACAACATTAAAAACTGGATTTTCACCACAGGGGGACTTTAAATGTATTTATGCTATATTAAAATGTGTATGGTTCATATTGTTTTCTACGAGTGAATTTATGCATCACAACATTCTAACATACAGTATGCAAAATGGATATTAATTTTGAGATTTGCTTACAATTACATTTCATAATGTCATTAAATAGTTTGTTGTTAAATTTTTAAATATTTACATTTAAGTGAGCATTTGATGACGGCAAAGGTACATTTAAATACAGAAAATGACATGAGCATGCACAATTAAAAATTCAATACAGATAAATGTAAAAAATCTCTAATATCACCCATTTATTGTCCATCCCTATTTAAAGTTCTTTGAAACCACGTGTAAACATCTTTGCCTAGGTGACTAGGTGAAAAGGGCAAACATTGCTCTTAGACAGCTTTGGTATGTTGCCGAGACACTTTACAAAAAATTCATATTGCTTCACAGGTTAACACAGATCATGTGACTACAGTCATTCAAAAACATTTACTGAACTCTGGATACAAAGTATGTGCAGAAATGAAAACAATGAATTATAGAGTTGACTGAGACAACAGACAACAATTTTAGAAACGCTATAAGAAGATGGAATGTGCCTACTTTCGTCATGCGCTTTATTTTGAGAGCATGCTGATGTCAACAGGGTCATGTTAAATGTGTGTATAATATATTGAGTCAGTAATTAGAAGTCACTCACCTGTAGATCCCACGCCGCTGCCTCTGTCACATACGGCTGATGATACACTACACACATCTCTCTACATCTACAATACACTAGCATAGTTTTTCTCTGTCTGCTCAAAAGCCTACCCACATCTTACTTATATACACAGCGAAGAGAGAGAGACAGAGTTTCCTGAGAGGGAGGAGAAAACAACCACAGAGCCACAGCGAGAAAACCACAACACTGCGATTAGAGTAGAGAAGGAGGGAGGGAGGACTCCAGTCTAAATCCCATTGACTGAGTGCATGTGAAAGTACATGTGTGTGAGTGTGAGTGTGTGCACATTTGATCCTCAAGACAGTCCTACGCTCATCCACATCACTCAGCATTAGCCGGGTTTAGCATCCTCCAATCACCTGGCTGCGAGCTCACACGAGGTTTTAATACACTAGACACAATCAAGCCTTGTTGAAGCTCCGGGAGCTTTTTTCCTGCTCGATTTACTGTCCCATGTGGCCTGTGATTGTCTTGTTTTTGTCTCTTAGTCACTTTTGTGGCTATAGAGTAGACATTTACCAAGAAATATGGCTGTAAATTATAAAAACAAGAGGTGAGAAAACCCTAAATGAGACCTAAAACAAACAAAAGAGGAAAAAAGAAAGAAACATTTTTTAGTTAAAATATTGTTTATGCTTAATTTTCCTGTATTTATATTCAGATTCTTTGTCGTCATCTGCTCAATTTAAGTTAATATAAAAAACAATAATATTTATTAACACATATATGTGTGTGTGTATATATATATATATATATATATACACACACACACATATATATATATATATATATATATATATATATATACAGTACACACATATATTCTATAATAATATATTTTGACTGTTTTCCAGCACATTATTGTATTATGTACAGTATTATTATTTTGTGATCTTGACAAGAATTATGTATTTATGTTAGCACATTTACATTTTTCCATGCCTAAACACACACATGACCACATTTTGGTTATAATTTTTTTTTTTTTTTTTTTTTTTTTGCGCAATGATTGCAATAATCTAATTGCAAATGTCCATGGTGGGATCTCTGGAAGCATTAGTTGCATTCCTATGGCAAACCGTGCTAAATTACCATGTGAATAGTGTTATAGTCACCAAACTTCGTTAGCACATTTTTCATAAAAAGCACTCCCTCCAACTCTAATTTAAAGACAGTGCATGAGTCCTGTGGTGCAGCTGTCTCTTCATTTTATGGGGTTCCTTAAGATCCCGGGGTTGAAATGGAGATAAACACAAGGAATGCTGATTCTCTTCCTCAAACAAAGTCTCAATTCTCACCGAAACCATTGCGTAATGTCTGAATGCAATAGTACTTGTCCTTCTTAAACAAGTGTGACTATTCAATTCTTGTAAAAAATAAAAATAAAAAAAATAACAACTTAAATTACATTAAACTGACACAAAATTATCTTGTACAACTTATATATATATTTTTAATTTGCAATGTAAAAACATGTCATAACTTATTGATCATTTAATTTTTGACTCTGTCGGTATCTGGAAACATGATACTTGATAGAAACTTGCTAGATCTTGTAGCAATTTCATGTCATTATCTAAGCATGAGGAAGCTAGCTGAATGGAGCTTGTTGACAGCCAACAGTCACCAAGTCATCTGCTGTGTAAGGCGTTCAGTATAATGATAGGGTCTAGGTCAGTGTGTAGGGGTAGTGGAGGCATGTTGTCTTGGTGGACACAATTTTCAAACTATAGGCCTTGCGCTGTCGTTCCGCTTGTGCATGGTCCATTAGTTGTATATGGCATCATAAAAAAGATACCAAGCTAAAGCCACAACAAGCAGTCAACAATTGGGTCATTGATATATAAGATAAAGAAAAGGATCTAGAAACACATGAGCCAGTCATTACATTTGAGACGCATCATATGACGTTTTGAAAACTGTAGGAACCTTACCTTGTTATAAAAAGGCCAAATGATTATCTGACATTAAGAGATGCATTAACCTAATTAACAAGAGCTCTAGATCTTTGAAGTTGTTTTGTTTTATCATTAGATTGGACGGAAAACGGCAGCACAAAATGGTTTGACCTGGTCAATGTGGGAAAACCTACTTATTCAGGAAAATAAAAAGTCATCATAACTAACCAGGACCACCAACACACCAAGAAAAGCTACTATAGATCCATTGGTTTCCGGATGCCTAGTTCTGACTTCTGGCTGCTCTCCAGCCTCCTCATAGTGCAGTCAAAGTGGAAATTAATTTATTCAAGAGGAGTTTATTCAGCGGCGGGAGATGAGGTGGTGGACGGCTGAAAAGGTTGGCGTGCTTCAATAGAAAACCACATTCCCACAGTTGAGGGAATGAGAAGGTCATGTTGGGCCAGCAATGTGGATCATTGCTTGAAACTTCCCTGACCTATTGTGCCTTCAGAACAAAAGCAGATCTATTCCTAGTGTACAACTGGAAGGTTGGTTTAGTTCGTCTGATTTAGTTACCGGTCTGTTTTTGTGTGAAATTGGACTAACAGACCCACAGAATGTAATGCAAGTGTGGCACAGCCTTGTCCAACAGGTTTACACGTTAATCTCTTTGGCCTCACTGATGTGTGCATGGTGATGTGTGATGTATTTAATGCTTCAAATGTTCAGTTGCCCATTTTGTCATGTATAGTTGCACTGGTGAAGAGTCATATGAAGTGTAGCTCGACCAAGCAAAAAAAAAAACCTTAAGCTCCATTATAACTGCACAAGTCCATGCTGCAACTTTTTTCACAACTATCCAGTCTAACTGAAACTCTAAGGTGAAACTTTCTGCATTTACACGTTCCCTTGTTCTTGCTCATGCTCTGGTTTTAATTTATTAGCCTCTTTATACGGTAAACCCTGTGAGATGTGTTAACGTTGATTTAATATATGTAGCTATGGATCTATTGGATCTAGATGTCTAGCAAAAAAGATCAAATTATGATTCTGTAGATTCTGAACGAGAACTGAAAAGTAGCGTTAATATCGATGCTGAATGAGTGGGATCTGCAGAACTGTAGAGAAACCAGTGAGGTCTAGTTGAGCACAGTCATCAGATTCCAGACCTCAGGGCGACGTGCCAGGCCAAGTGGTCAGGGAGCCGTTTTTCTGGCATTGCACCATTCAGGAACATACGCTTCAAGACTCTCCCTCACACACTGTCTCTATCCAAATAAGAAAGAAAACTCGCAAATTAGGTCTTAATATCTCATGTGTTTCTCCTACACAAAAAAAAAGGTACAAAAGCTGTCACTGAGGGAGTATGGTACAACTTTTTACCCCTAAAGGGTGCATATTAGTACCATAAAGTTACATATTATGTATTATATCTGATCATCATAGCAACGTGGATAAGTTTGCATGAGTTCTGCAATTCGGCACTCTAGTAAAGTCATGTCACGTTTATTTATACAATAGATTGCACAAAATCAAGTAGCTTTACCATATTAAACACGAAAAACTGTGTCAGTGTTTGGTTTCATCAAAAGTACAACTTCAGTTTCTGCTATAAAGCAGCTCTCCAGTGTGTTCATGTTTTCACTCGCGGACATCTGACTTCAACGGACTCGTTAGAAGATATGAACTGGAAAAGAGTTCCACGTAGTGATGTAGTACTCGGTCTCGAGACTGATTTCTGCTTTCTAGGACTCGTCTCGGACTTGTTCCTTCAAAGACTCGGTCTTGACTCGGTCTCGACCCTTCAAAGACTCGGTCTCTCAGTCTCGGACCACAGTGGGAGGAGAAGGACTCGTAATTTCAGACCGAGTCCTTGAGATTTTTTTTCCAACGCATTTTTTTATGTTCACATAAAAAAAACACACAACACATAACAACAATAATAATAAAATGCAATGTTGACGGGCATTATTTGAAAATGACATCCCATGGTGCAATGCAAAGGCCTAACTGTTGATTATTAACTGGGGTGATATTAAATCATGAATATCAAAACTGACATGTCGAGACAAGATCTCGACTCGGACTTGCTTCCTCAAAGACTCGGTCTTGACTCGGACTCGACTGTATTTGAAAAACAACGGACTCGGTCTCGACTCAGACTCGACCCTTCAAAGACTCGGTCTTGACTCGGACTCGACTGTATTTGAAAACCAACGGACTCAGTCTCGACTCGGACTCGACCCTGCAAAGACTCGGTCTTGACTCGGCATAGGCGGTCTCGTCCCCATCACTAGTTCCACGTGAAAGAAGGCGGAGCCTCAGCGCACACCTACCTATTACATAATCGCCACAGACCAATGGGAGTTCGAAGGTGTTTACCAGCCGGAGCGAACTGTTCCGGAAAGTTTGCTTTGGAAAGCCGTTTCGAACTCCTGAAACGAACACAAAACGAACTTCGTTTTGGCCTGATTTTGTTCGAAATGACGTCATATCAGTTCATTCTTCGATTTCGTCTGAAGTATATCAGGGCCTTAAGTGTCTCAAACAGTGTTCAGATTGGTCTGTAATCCAAAGTCAGAGGTCTCAGTTTGAACTCAAACATTTTTTGTCAAATTATTCTAAAAGCAGATTATCTAAGATGCAATTTCAGACTAAAGTGCTTGCATAACATTAAAAATATGTATTATTGTCTTTGTCAAACGAAATCAAACAGAAGTAGCATTAGTTTTCTTATCCGAATTGAGACGTACATCCGAGTGAAACAAACTAAATGTATGTGGGTGGGGTCTTGCTTCTCTCCAGTGGTTGTTGATTGGTTGGTTGGAGGCAGATCAGAATGTGAGCTTGTAATCAATTGTAAGAAAGGGGCGGGTTTTAAGTGGGCGAAAGGATTGGAGAAGTCTGGCATATGTCACCGGAGGCGATTGACAATTGGGTTGAGAGATTTATACTAAAACAAATTGAAAGACAAAATATAGACGGATAGAATTTTCATTTCATGCTGACTTTAAAGCAACATACTGAGTTCATGACCTGAGCTCTGAAAGTGCAAACTTTAACTTTAAGCAGTAAAATGTTCCTCTGGGAATAGCTGAATGGTTTAAATTTCAGAGTATAATCCTTAGAAGATTACAGTGAGAGAACATAATATCAGGGCAGTGAAACTGACATTGACTTGTTACATTGCAGAAGGGTTGACACAATGACAACAGTGGTGTTTTAGTCATTTTGG